GTGGTATCTCAGTGTAGTTTTAATTTGCATCTCATTAATTAGTGAGGCTGAACATTTTTCTGTGTGTCTGTTGGCTGCTTGTATGTCTTCTTTTGAGAAGTGTCTATTCATATCTTTGGCCCACTTTGTATTGGAGCTGTTTGTTTTTTTCTTTTCAGCACGTTTGAGTTCCTTGTAGATCCTTGATGTTAGGCCTTTGTCAGACATGGAGTTGGCAAATATTTTTTCCCAGTCTGTGGGCTGTCTCCTTGCTCTCTTGATGGTTTCTTTGACTTTGCAGAAGCTTGTCAGTTTAATGAGGTCCAACTTGTCTGTCTTATTTCTTATTGCCTGAGCACTTCGGGTTTTGATCGGAAATTGGTTGCCAGTTCCAACTTCCATAGGAGTGTCTCCTGCATTTCCTGAGGTTCTTACAGTTTGAGGTTTTACATTTAGGTCTGTGATCCATTTAGAGTTAATTTTTGTATATGGGGATAGGTAGGGTCCTGTTTCAATCTTCTGCATGTGGTCAACCAGTTTTCCCAGCACTATTTACTGAATAATTTCTCCTCTCCCCAGTAATGGGTGGTGGAGGCTTTGTCGAAGATGAGTTGGTTGAGAAATTGAGGTTTAGCTTCTGGGATCTCAATTCTATTATTGGTCTATATATCTCTGTTCTTGTACCAATACCAGACTGTTTTGATTATTGTAGCTTTATAGTATAAAGTCTGGGAGTGTGATACCTCCTGCTTTTTTTTTCCTGAGGATTGTTTTGGCTATTCTTGGTTGTTTATGTTTCCATATGAATTCCTTAATTGTTTTTTCTTGGTCTGAGAAGAATGTTGTAGATAATTTGATGGGTATTACATTAAATCTGTAGATTGCCTTAGACAAAATGGACATCTTAACAATGTTGGTTCTTCCAGTCCATGAGCATGGAATATTTTTCCACTTGTTTGTGTCATATTTGATTTCTTTGTGCAGTGTTTTGTAGTTTTCATTGTGAAAGTCTTTTATGTCTCTGGTTAGGAAGATGCCAAGGTATTTTTTTTTTTTTTTTTTTTTTGTGGCTGTTGTAAATGAAATTGTGTTTTTTATTTGGGTTTCTGTTTGTTTATTATTGGTGTATAGAAATACGATTGTCTTTTGTACATTTATTTTATACCCTGAGACTTTGCCAAAGTCCTTTATCAGTGCCAGGAGGTTTTGGGCAGATTCTCTTGGATTTTCAAGGTATATAATCATGTCATCTGCAAAGAGAAATAACCTGACTTCCTCTTTTCCTGTCTGCATACCCCTGATTGCCTTCTCTTCTCTGATTGCTCTAGCCAGGACTTCCAAAACTATGTTGAACAGGAGGGGCGAGAGTGGGCATCCTTGTCTTGTTCCAGTTTTCATTGGAAATGGTTCCAATTTCTATCTGTTTAGGAGTATGCTGGCTGTGGGTTTCTCATAGATGGCTTGTACTATTTTGAGGTGTGCTCCACGTATGCCTAGATGTTCGAGGTTTTTATCAAGAAACGGTGCTAGATTTTATCAAAAGCCTTTTCTGCATCTAATGATATAATCATGTGGTTTTTGTTTTTACATCTGTTGATGTATTTAATTACGCTTATGGTCTTACGAATAGTAGTAATCTAAAGATTGACTACTTGGGTGCTGTTTAATTAATGTGCTTGCCATGACAGGGAAAAAGCATAGCATACCATGAATATACAAATACTTAGAGAATATACAAATTCTGATGGACTGTTTTAGATTGCTAAGAATTACTACCTGGCAAAAAAGGGTGAAAAGTTGCACTACCCAAGACTGAATTTTAATGACTTCTGTCTTTGGAAACATTCTTAACATATATAAATTATACACTGTGATCCCAGATATAAGGAACAAAAAAGATGTTATTCTCTTTTCCTCTAAGTCAGTTACAGTGCTTTCTTATGAAACAAAATTCAGTGAGATATTCACAGGGCAAGTCAGCATATGAAAAGATGTTCAACATCATTAGCTATTAGGGAAATGCAAGTTAAAAATCAGTATCACTACATACCTGTCATTATGGCTAAAATGAAAAATAGTGACAATTGCCACCATGTGGCAAGGATGCCGAATAACTCTCTCTCATACATAGCTGTCAGGAATGTAAAATGGTACAGCAACTCTGGAAAACAGTTTGGCAGTTTTCTAAAAAACTAAGTATGCAATTTCTATGCAGTCTAGCAATTGTATTCCTGGGCACTTAGCCCAATGAAATGAAAACTTACTTTCATACAAAAATCTGTACATGAATGCTTATAATAGTGGCTTACAATAGCCCCAAACCGGAAACAGCTCAGCTGTCCTTTAACAGGTGAATGACTAAACAAACAGCTGTAGTACTGTACCATGGAGTACTGCTCAGCAACAAAAAGAAACAGACTTTGATACACACAACAACCTGGATGAGTCTCCTGAGAAATATGCTGAGTGAAAAAGGCAATCCTAAAAGGTTACACACTAAATGATTCTATTTATGTAACGTTCTCTTAAAAAATGACAAAAAGTTGGAAGCAAAAAAAATTTTTAATATTGATTATATGTTTAAATGTATTATTTTGTATATAGTAGATTAAATTAAAAAACTCTTACTAAAATTTTTTTAGTGACAAAAAGCATAGAGATGGAGAATGGATTGGGGTTGCTAGGGATACAGGTGGGAGTGAGGGCAGGAGAGCAGTAGGTGTGTCTGTAAAAGGCAAGAGATGATAGAAGTGTTCTGCATAGCTAAATCAGTGTTGGCAGCCTGATGGTGATGCTGCACTTAGTATCCCAAACTGGGTAAAGGATAGATAGCATGGGCTCTAGCTGTTAACTCTCATAATTACATGTGAATCTACAGTGATCTCAAAATTGAAAGGTTAATTTTTAAAAATAGAAGAGATATTACATGAATGTTCTAATGAAACACTGTTTTCTTCCCACATGTTTCTTTTTAAGTGTCATTTATTGATGGTTATTTGATCTTTCCTTTTGTCATTCAGTAAATAATTACTGATCACTTGGTATGTGCTTAATTTAGCTTATCTGTCGAGTTCAAATTAATTATCTAAAACCAAAATCATCGCTAGATTGTAATTGTTTTAAACTTACTACATAAAGGATGCCACCTTATTTTGTTATTTAGTAGTAAGTTTTGCAACTAGTTTGTATAGCTCACAGCCATCGTCTCTTCTGTAGTTACATTTTGAGGCCTTGGTAACATTAGCTTAAAAATATTTTTTAAATTTCCAGGGTAAAATTATTGTGGCCACGCTTCACGTTGTAGCACTGGTGGACCTTGATTACATATTTATGAGCAGAATCAGGTGTTTGTTGTGAGCATTCATCTTTTAAGACTGGGTGAATTTTTGTGTAGGCACATGTTCTGGCAGACCCCTGAGTTTTCCCAAGAGGATGGCATTCTTTGTCCCAGTTCAGCTTTGGGCTTACCTGGTGACACAAAATGTGCTCTCCAGAATGTTTCAGAACATTGAACTTGGAGTTTTGAGGTTAGCTCCAGAGCTGGGTTTAGAAACACAACCATGCTTAATGGTAAACAACCTGGACAACAGTCAGTCCTGTGGTTGGATGATAGCCTCTAACTTAGCCAGAGCAGTGGAGGGTCTCTTACCTGCCCTGCATCACTCTGGACCTCAGAATGACTTTCACTGAATTGTGCTTTGACATAATATTAGGGGTGTCATTTTCTTATGAATGAAATTGAGAATGTATTCAGTAGCTGGAAATGAAATCTGACAACTTTAACACTTTTGGGGGGGAGGGAATATTCTGCACTCTTAGCTTGGGTGACATAGTGAGACCCTGTATCTAAAAATATTTTTTTTTTAATTAAAAAATTTGTTTTAAGGTTGGAGATTTGTTGGTGGTGGTGAAAGAATTGAGGGTAGGCCAGGGAGATAAAGCCAGCCCTTGCTTCACCTGCACCTCCCCTCCTTTGACTTTCTAGAGGACTCTTGGCAGACTGCTGGTGATCCTGATTTGAATAGCGAATTCAAGTTAAGGAACAAGATTAGAACCCTTTTCTGTACTTTCAGCTTTGTGGAACACACACACATGATCCAGTTCATTATGTTGAGGCATTGAAGGGATTTTCCTTGAAAGTAAAATTATAAATGGGTTAGACCCAGGGTAGCTTCCCAAGGTCTATTATGAACCATAATATTCTATTAGTAGTGTAGGGCATGCAGCTCTCACTTATTACATTGTTTTGTTGAAAGAGGAATGAATTTCTAGCCGGGCTTGGTGGCTCAGCCTGTAATCCCACACTTTGGGAGGCTGAGGTGAGTGGATTGCCTGAGCCCGAGGGTTTGAGACCCGCCTGGGCAACTTGGCGAGAACTCATCTCTACAATAAATCAAAAAATTAGCCGGCCATGGTAGTGCACGCCTGTAGTTTCAGCTACTGGAATGCTGAGGTGGAAGGATCGCCAGAGCCCAGCAGGTCGAGGCTGCAGTGGCCGGAAGCAGCCACTGCACTCCAGTTTGGGTGACAGAGTGAGATGCCATCTTAAAAAAAAAAAAAAGAAAAGAAAGAAAGAGGAATTTCTAGTTTCTCCTAGGGCTGATCTTTTATTTTTGTTTTTGTTTTTGTTTTTTTGCTTGACTGCTATGGCCAGAGGGTTGAATAGCCCCAGATATTAAGGGGGCTTTAGGCAGGAGGGCAGCAGTGGTGGTCAGGGTTCACTGGTGATTCTGTGCTGGCCCTGAACTTTGTTGGGGAAATCCCTAATGGCAGTACCAAACAGAATGGTGGGAAGGAAAGGGAACTTCGGCATGCTTCAGGTCCTGGCTAGAACAGTCTCTGAGGCACAGACCAGAACAATCTGGGATTGTCCATGCATGGAAATGTGTAAAAACAGTGGTAGCATGAGACTATCAGGATTCAGTGAGCCATGTGTTTTTTCATCACTGCTGTTAATTATTTGTCATTGTTAATGGATCCACAGATTCACTGTTAACATCTTATGTAATTTTTTTTTGCAGTCTCAAACCATGAATTATGTGGGACAGCTGGCTGGGCAGGTCATTGTCACTGTGAAGGAACTCTACAAGGGCATTAACCAAGCTACCCTCTCTGGGTGCATCGATGTCATCGTGGTGCAGCAGCAGGATGGCACCTATCAGTGTTCACCTTTTCATGTTCGCTTTGGGAAACTGGGAGTCCTGAGATCCAAAGAGAAAGTGGTGAGTGCAGTGTATATATCCTGTCCTTAGGGAGAGGAAGAATTAGTATCAGAGTCAATTATTGTTGTGAGCTTTCAGCGTCTTTTGTTTTTTAATTGTGAAAACCTGAATGATGTGAAGTCAGTGTTTTAAGAAGTCAACCTTTGTGCATTGCTTTTGAAGTTACTTCTAAAATCACAAAGCTCTACTACAGGAAGTCTCCCAAAAAAAAGTGAAACGGAAAAGTATAATAATCCTGCATGCTACAATCAGAAGAATAAAACAGAAACTAGAGTTATAAATGGAGAAGTTAGGCATATTTAGGAAAAAAAAATTGCCTTTACCTTATACCAGCACTTTAAAATATTTAGGTTAATACTATCATACTAATTGCAAATGGAATAGGTTGCTATAATGAAGAATACATTACATTTGCTTAAAGGAAATGAATGTCACATTGTAATTGTTTCTTTTGACAGAGCTGTAAAATCTTGTTTGTAATCTAAATTCTGTTATACCAGGACTTATTCCCAATTTTGACTGAAACGTTAACCCACAGGCCATAGACTCGTTGACTTTCATTTGTTTTAGGGAAGATTCATTCAAGAAGAAAATATTTGTGTTGTTTATTTCTTTTTTGTATATCCTCTTCCCTTCAGGTTATAGAGCAGGAAGGTTTGCTGGTATATCTGATGTCAATAAGTTAGAAAACTGAACTAGTAATAAAACTATGCAGATACATAGTAGTATTTTTCTTTCTACTCCTGACTCGCAGTATCTACCTAAATAATGTAAAGAGCTTTTGACAAGATTTTTTTTTTTTTTTTTTTTTTGAGTTGGTCTCACTCTGTCGCCCAGACTGGAGTGCAGTGGCCGCTCCCAGCCACCGCGGCCTCGACCTGCTGGGCTCCGGCAATCCTTCCACCTCAGCCTTCCAGGTAGCTGGAATTACAGGCATGCCCTACCACACCCAGCTGATTTTTTGATTTATTGTAGAGATGAGGTCTCACTGCCCAGGCGGGTCTCGAACCTGCGGGCTCAGGCAATCCACTCACCTCAGCCTCCCAAAGGCGCGGGATTACAGGCTGAGCCACCGAGCCCGGCTGACAAGATTTTTGATACTCAGTATTTTCTGGCCGAGACCTGAAAGTTTGTGTTAGAGGACCACTGGCATAAGTTTAAAACATCTATTTTCAGCTTTTTGCTATTTCACATAGCTGATCCTTCGATAGAAGTGTCCCTCAGTTTAATTAAACTTGTTATTTTGAGGATGAAAGAAAATGGATGTCACAAAACTAGATACTGTGTTTTGTTTTGCATTTCTTCAAGAAAAACATCTCATTTCTAGATGTCACAAAATCAGTTGCCGCTAGAGAGCCACATTTCAGGTAGCAGGGTTTGTGTGGTCTGGCGTCTGTTCAGAGTCAGCCTTTAGAAAGCAAAAGCAGTTGAAGTTTACTTAGTGACTTAGAAAGTATTCACTTCAAAACAGTGTTGTTTAGCCATGGTTAGCACTCAGGAGTTTTTTCTTTCTTTCCTTCTAACTGTTAGTACTTTCAGACCGAAACTATTGCTAAGGACTCTGTAGCAAACTGAAATTTCCCATTAGTTGTACAAGGATCTATTTGTATAACTACTTATGAGGCATTGTCATCATTATTCTGATGGAATTAGATTTTTTAGATTGGAGCACTTCCTTTCTATTTTTTTCTTTTTCTTTTTTATTATTTTTATTTTAAATTTTTTTTTGAGTTGGAGTCTCACTCTGTCACGCAGACTGGAGTGCAGTGGCCGCTCCCAGCCACTGCAGCCTCGACCTGATGGGCTCCAGCAATCCTTCTGCCTCAGCCTTCTAAGTAGTTGGAACTACAGGCACGTGCAACCACGCCCGGCTAATTTTTTTGATTTATTGTAGAGATGAGGTCTTGTCAAGTTGACCAGGCGGGTCTCCAACCCGTGGACTCAGGCAATTTACTCAAGGCGTGGGATTACAGACTGAGCCACCAAGCCCGGCCCAGAACATTTCCTTTTAAAAGAGAACGTGCAGGCAGGCATATATAAATACTTTTGTTTCTGTAAATGGTAACTGAGCAGATAAAATACCTTTTCTGCATGCTATGTGCTTCTAATTTGGGAAGTAATAAAATGTCTGTGCAAAGCTACACAATTCATTGTGTTAAATATATTGTCAAAACTTTTATTTTTTTTTTTTGGAATCTCACTCTGTCACCCAGGCTGAATGAAGTGCAGTGGCATGGTCAATCACAGCCACTGGAGCCTCTGCCTGCTGGGCTCTGGTAACCCTTCCACTTCAGCCTTCCAAATAGCTGGAACCGTAGGCGTACGCTATCACGCCTGGCTTATTTTTTATTTATTGTAGAGATGAGGTCTCACCAAGTTGCCCAGGCTGATCTCAAACCCCTAAGCTCAGGCAGTCCTCTCGCCTCAGCCTCCCAAAGTGTTGGGATTACAGGCTTGAGCCTCCACGCCTGGCTTACTTTATTTATTAGTAATCAGAATATTGAGATGTTTATTAGTTGAAAAATACCATCACTACATTATATATAGATTTTGAAAAGTACTTTCTTTGTTACTTAAATGCTATAAAGAAATAAGCCTATTTCCTGGGTTTATTTTATTTTTTTAAGAGACAGAGTCTTACTCTGTCACCCAGACTGGAATGCAGTGGTGCAATCATAACTCTCTACAGCCATGAGCTCCTGGGCTCAAGTGATCCTCTGGTCTCAGCCTCCCAATTAACTCTGGCTATAGATAACATACCACATCTGGATAATTTTCTGATTTTTTGTAGAGATGAAGTCTTGCTATATTGACCAGGCTGTTATGTTTATTAATATAATGACTAACTTCTGTGTAGGTAAAATTCCTTCAAATAACTAGTTTGCTACACTCTATGTAAATCTCATTAAATTTAAAAAAACTTTTATATGTATATAGGATTATAATTTATAAAAATGATCACGTAAGGCAGTGTTCAATGATAACTGTATGTAAACAATTGAATATCGCTGTATAGATACAGTTCAGTCAAATGTGTATTGAAAGCATCGTGTGCCTGTTATTTTCAACATGTTAAAAAGCAAATTATCGAGAATGGGCTAGTTTACTAACACAGAGGAGTACCTGTATTTGTTCCTCCTCTTATAACTATATGAGAATATTAGTTTTTATGTATTTTTATTTTTCCATATTTGAAGGTTTACCCTCCTTACTTTAAAAAAGTTTAAATTTTTTTTTTTTTTTCTCAGTGTTTTTTATTGTGGTAAAATCACATAAACCTGTTTTGGCCTAGCCAAAAGCTAGAGTTACTAATAAGAGTGGGACACAAGAAAAGATAACTTTTTGTTTCCTACTTCCTCCCTTGGTGATTCAGTAACCCAAAGAATATAATTGGAAGGAAATTTGGGCATTTGATTTACCAAAACACAGCTTTCTTACAACAGTAAAACTGAGACTATACCTACCTTGAGATATGCTGGCAATTTGCATTAACTATTTGTCTTATTTTGTCAGTTTGGGTTAGGGAAGACTGGACATTGATTTGAAAATAAGTCCCAAATCTTTGAATATGGCAACACCTATGACATGAACTTGAAATTATGACCACCTTAAAGCCACTGTGTAGAAAGATGCAGTATAATAATTTTACCACTGCCATTGATATGTTTTTGTTTGATAAAACACCAGTACTCCCAAGTATATTTTATAACTTACGAGTTTAATTTTAGAAGGTAAACCTGCACTTGTTATTTTTAATTATTCACTTTGTTGACTTGTCACAAATCTGATGATTTATCAATTAAATAGCCCAGTGTATTTGAACTGTTTATGTTGCTGAAGACAAAAATTCACCTCCCACGAGCACAAGCAAAAAAGCTTGCATAGGTAATGTCAAGAAGCATTTGATAGGGTCAGTGCTGTATATAGAGACTCTAAAGGTTTTATCAGAATTCTCTTTCTCTCCCCACGTCTCTCTCAGCTCTGCTTCTGCATGTGTGGGTCTCTCTAATGACCGCCAATACCTCCAGGCTCACTTCCCATGATCCTAATCCCAATAGAGAGAGAGAGCTTCCTACTGAAGTATCAGTATTTAGTCTCCTTATCAGACTCTGGAGCCATTTACTGTAACTGGGGATGGAATATATTGATTGGCCTTGCTTGGACAACAGGCCCACCTTCACTCCTTAAAGCCACACCTGAAATACAGGTTGAGGATCCCTTATCTGAAATGTTTGGGAACCCGTGTGTTTTGGATTTCACATTTTTTCACATTTTGAAATATTTGCATTATACTTACTGGTTGAACATCCTAAGTCTGAAAATCTGAAAGCTGAAGTGCTCCAACAAACATTTCCTTTGAACATCATGTCACTGCTCAGGAAGTTTCATTTTTGGAACATTTCAGATTTCAGGGTTTTGGATTTGAAATTCTCAACCTGTATATGATTTGAAATGGAGAATGAATACATCCCCAAAAGACACTGGATGCATTCTTATGCAAAGAGTGAGTGACAAGCCAAATCAAGTGTCTGCTACGTCCATTATTTCTCAGAGATAGCAGAGATTTCAACATCTTAGTCATGTTGTGTTGAGCAAAATTGAGCCACAGTGTAAGAAATATGACTCCGTGGAAATGCATGGTTATTTTATAAACCAGTTTAATCTTTTTCCTTTGTTACCTTAAGACTTCATGACATAGTCTTTTAAGAATCTTTAATATTGGCAAAATTTGATGTTAGATTTAAATTTTGGGAAGACTAAACTCCATTCAGAGTCAAATCATGAGAATAGAGTAAGTAGTCATATTGTCATGTTTGATCTCCAAAAGTAAAGGCTATGTAGTGTTAGTTTTTCTAAGATGGTGTGTAAATAGTTCAGACTCTGAATTTGCATCCTAAAGAAGCATTATCTATTTCCTTGCTACATTGGGTAAACAGATAACTTCCACAAATGAAATCTTTGAAGGTTGTTTGTTTGAATCTTCTTTTTTTTTTTTGAGT